CATACCAAACCGACGGCCTTCCAAGTTGTGCCGGGCCTTCGCCGTTGCCTCCGCCCCGTCCGAGCACCGCGAGAGCTTGCCGCTCAGCTTGTCCTTTGTGGTGTGGCTGGAGCAGTCCGTGCTTGATCCGAACACCTCGCCGGCGCAAGTTCTCCGTCTCGGGTTTGTGCTTGTCTGCGTTTGGGCTTCCCTTCGCTGGGGGGACTCTATTTGGGTCCCCCCCGCCCGACTGCAATACCAAATGTCCGTGCAGGCCCTTGTCGGTGTCTCCGTCCGTACGAAAACGACAAAACGAGGTATGCCGTGGGGGCTTCTGGTGCACGGCTTCCTGGGATCCTCTGCTTCTTCGTGGGCGCTCCGTTTCCTATCATGCCTACGCCAGTCGGTGTCCGACACACTGGCTCTGCAGCCTACTCGCACTTTGGATTTTTCGCCGCACAGTCCCTCAAGGCAACTATGCTGAGTTCATTGAGTCCGATGCCCGTCGCATTCAGGGGCATCATCGACTTTCTGGGGCCGACCGTTCCGTGGCCCTCTACTCTCGTGATGATATCATCCCCATGGTCCGTTTACAAGCTCGTGTGGTCGCGGCCTTCCGCAACGGCTTCCGTCCTTTGCAACCCGTTGGCCGTGGTCTTGAGGCCCCCGTTGCAGATTTCCCGGTGGTCCTTCTTTCTGGAACGCTTCCGTCTTTGGATTCGGCTGCTTTGCCGCCTGACTGCCTCCCCGACTCCCCCGTCTCGCCACCCGCTGCAAGCCCTCCCGTGCCAGCAGATCCTCCTCCTCCCCTCCCGATGATTCCGGTGCTCCCGGTTCCTTCGGCCGAGGATGATCTTGTGTCACTGTCCTCTGAGGAGTCTGAAGCTCCGCCCGCAGATCAGGACGAGGCCGAGGATTGGGAGGCCGACTTGGTCGAAAAAGCGGCCATCAAGGCTGCATCCTCCGCCCCCTGGCTTATGCATAATCCGCGCAGCAACGTTGTGCACTTTGCTCAGACTTGTGCCCCGGATGCTCTCCGTTCAATCCGTATGCTGCGACAGGACGGTTCCGCTGTGCATGTCCGACCAGCCTGTGGGGCGCAGACTCGCCAGATGGTCTCTGGACCCTGCTGTCTGGTCCGCCCGCTGGTTCGGTTTTGTGCCTGCGCGGCGCCTGCTTTTCCCGGTTGTCGCAGCTAGACTGATTCAGCTTCGCGAGCCAGTGAAAAGAAGCCAGCGAGCTGTTTCCGCCGTCCGTTTCTTGTTCGTCATGCTTTCTGTCATGAGCGCATGTGTGTCCGCAGCCGTTTTTCGGGATTTTGTGCTACATTTGCTTGCCCCCGTCTCTCATCGTCATGGCGTTTGAGGGCAATGCATCGGGCTCCGGTGGCTTCGACCCACCCGGCCGCTATTTTATGCAGCGCGCCGCAGCCGTGTCCGAACCAGGCCCGGAGCCGACCCCGTCGCTCCGCCCTGTGGACCTGGATGACCCATCGCCCACTTACGCCTCTTCCGTGCAGAGTCACTCGACCGGTCCGGGCTCCTGGGCCACCGTGGGGGACGTTAGCACAGGATCTGAGCTGGTGGACCAACTATGTCTCCGTTCTGACACTCGCGACCGCATTGTTCATCTGTGCATGCGGATGGGCACGCCGTCTGGGCCTAAAGCTTCGGCATCATCTTTCCCGCCGGTTTTTGCCGCCACGACATGGCCCCGCTGCTGCAACCCCGCCCGAAGCCGGCCCGTGCGCCTCAGCTGCCGTCCGGCCCCGCGTGCACCAACCCGGACGGGCAGCACCCTGTGCCTCCCTCCGGTGCCGAGGCGGCCATCCCCAAGGCTGCGCCTAAGGTAAAGGCCAAAGCCAAACGCAAGGCTGCTCCTTCCAAACCCGGTCCGATCCCCGGCTTCGACCCATCCTGGGCGCGCGTCGTGGACGGCGCTGACGTGTGCATGAAACACGCTATTGGCAAGTGCACGAACCCCAACTGCAAGTATGCACATGTGTGTCCGGTCATGCTTCCGTGCGGTCAGCCCCACGCGGCCCTCGAGCATGCGGCCGCCCCGCATTGACTACCTTCGGCGCCGCCGGCGGTGGTTGTGCTGCCTGCCTCTGCCAGTGCCGCCGGGACGCCGTCCTCCACACGTGCTGTGCCCGGTGTTCCTCCCAAACCTGCTCCGCCCTCTGCTCCCTCTGGGTCGTGCACACAGCCCTTGCATGTTCCCCCAGCCCGGCTTTTCCTGGATTTGTTCGCTGGGGCGGCATCTCCGGTCACCCAATCAATGGCAGCACTTGGCCGCATGTGTTTTCAACCGGTGGATTTGCTCTCGGGCGAGCACATCGACATTTTGCACGATGGCACCTTCACATCGCTGCGCCGCCTGTGTGCGTCTGGCCTGGTGGGCGCTGCGGCGGCGGCCCCGCCCTGCTCGGCTTTTTCCCGTGCACGCCTCCGTCCCGGGGGCCCTCCCCCCGTCCGCACGGTCTCTCACCCGCGCGGCAAAGATGTGCTCTCTCCATCCCAGACATCCGAACTTGCCACATCCTCCCTCATCCATGTCCGTTGCAGAGAATTGCTGGCACTCGTCGCCGCACGCGGTGGTTTGATTTGGCTGGAAAATCCCACCTCCAGTCTTCTGTGGCTCGACCCGCAGGTGATGGCCTGGTGTCGGACCCATACTCCCTTTGCTTCGACAGTTGCTGCTTGTGTTCACTCCGTCCCGGTTCACAAATCCTGGACTTTCATGTGCAATCACGCATCGATTTCGTCCGTGGCTTCCGTTTGCCCGCATCCGCTTGGATTTCATCCCACTCTGTCGGGTCATCGTGGCCCCGATGGGGTTTTCCTGACGCGCCAGACAGCCCACTACCCGGCGTCATTGGCCTCTCTTCTTGCTTCTGTGGCCGCCCCCTTTGTGGACAAAGGCACCACGAGCCACTCCGTCCGAAATTGGACTTGCTTCCTGCCCGCTTCCCCTTGCTGGGCCCTCCCCGCCGGGCGTGTGGAGGACGGCGCCGGACTCTGCAATTCCGCGACGCCGTTTCCCCCCACACAGTCAGACGCCCTCGGCGACCTCCGCAAGGCGTGGACCAAACGGCTCCTGGACTCTGGCCTGCATCAACAGATTGCGTCTCGTCTGCTGTCCGGCTCAAAAGATGATCCATTGTCCGAGGCCGAGCTTGCCCCTTTCCTGGCCGACCTACGTACCTTCCTCCACGTGGACTCTGACTCTACATGGACTTCCCTTCTCCACATTCTTGACGGTCAACCATTCCGTCTGAATCTGTGGCATTGCCTTTCTCTGCTTTGCTCCGACCCGGACTCCGATTACTTCCATGTTCTCCGTGAAGGCGTCCCTCTGGGTATCGGCGCCGCCATTCCCGCGTGCCCCGTCATGCACCCTCCCGCTCCTCCCGATGCCCTGCGCCTTCCCTTGGAACACTGTGAATCCGCATGGAAATCGGCTTTGGACCATGCTGATGTCGTGGACTCTCTGCTCCAAGCTGAGCTCGAAGCCGGGTGGATCCGCGAAATCCCCGGCGGCGACGCGGAGCTCCGTCGCACATATCAATACACGGCGGTTGGCAAGCTAGGTTTGGTCCTGGCACCCGGTCGTCCGCCGCCTCGCCTGCGTGTCGGGCGTTACTTCGAACACTCATCTCCCTAACCGTTCTGCCAACCCGTCCCTCATGGACGTTCGCCGCTCCGTCCCAGTCTCCGACTCTTTGGACTTTTGTGTTTCCGCCACGCCGGCCGCTTGTATCAAGCATCACTTTGAACTTCGGTGCTCGCGTGTCCAGCTTCTTCTGGGCGCGCTGTGCGGGCCTGCTTGTTCGACTTCTCAAACGTCTGCTCCGTATCCGCCACTCCTCATGGATTTATGTCGATGACATCCTGGCTCTGTTTAAAGTTCCGATGAGCTGGCACAAAGGCACTCTGTCCCCCGCCGTGGTGTGGATCGGATGGCAGATGGACTTCGAATGCTTCACGGTCCGTCTCGATCCGTCCAAGCTCAGCCGCCTTGTTGACCTTGCCAATCACGTTTTGGGCTCCCGCGATTGCTCCGTGCGAGACCTTGAGCGTCTCACAGGCAAGCTCCTCTGGCTTTCCTCTCTTTTCCGCTGCTTCCGGCCCTCCTTGGCTCCACTTTATGCGGGCCAGCATGCTTTCGCTCCGGTGCTTACTGCGGTTTCCCCAGATAAGTGGCAAGCTCTCTGTGACAACGTCGACGCTCGCCTCGTTCTTCAGCGTTCCGTTGGCATTGCAGCTATCCCCCCGGGCTCTACATTGCTCCGTGTCGGCCAGACACCGCTCACATCCCGACGTGACTTAAGCCGCGTGGTCCCAGAGCAGCGACGTATTTGGGTGCAGTCCTCCTGCCCGTCGCGCTCCTTCTGCCGACTTTCCGACTCTTCCCGCCAGGTCATCCGCATGTGGCTGGACTTGGCAGCATCCGGTGCAGATGTCCGCTCCCTCATCTTGCCGCCACTTTTTGAATGCACCGCCTTCGCCGATGCCTGTGCCGATGCCTCCTCCGTGGGCATGGGCGGCTTTGTCCGTCTGCCGAACGGCCAGCAGCTGTTCTTTCAAACTCTGCTTGCCAAGCCGCAAAGGCTCCGGCTTTTCCCTTGGCTTCCGCCCCACTGTTCCCTGCAGTCGTACATCGCCACCTGGGAGCTCGCGTCACAGGCCGCTCTCCTCTTTCTGCTCCGCCTTTTGGGCGAGGGCCACTTGCCTTGCCAGACCGTTTTCTGCTCCGACAATTCCGCTACGGAGTCGGCGTCATGGAAAGGTCTGTCTATGGCTCACGGCCTCTGTTCCGTGCTCCGTGTTTTCTTTACACTCCAGGAGCGCTTGCGCATTTCCGTGCAGGTGGATCATGTCCCCGGCATCTCCAACGACGTTGCCGATGGTTTGAGCCGCGGCTCCGATTCGGCATCCTTTGGATTTTCACCGTCAGAATCAGTGGATGTCGATTGGTCAATCATGGCCGCCGCTCCGTCCATGCGTTTCTTTCCGTCAGCTGAGCCTTTCTCAGGCTTCCTTGCACCTTAGATTCCGTCCGTGGCCGTTGCTTGATGGTCTTTTGGCGCGGTTCCCCTGTCGGGTCAAGCATGCGGCT